AATGTAATGAATGGATGGTGTGCTGCAATGACAAAGTGCTGTGTGGAAGATGCAGATGCCTGAAGTTCTTTCACTTTAGGCTAGTCAAAGCCTAACCTTTTATCCTGTCCACTCCCCTGCCATCCACTATTGTAAAAAGCCAGATTAGCAGAAACTTTCTTTTTTTCTTTAAAACTAGAACAGACACAAAGGTAAAGAGGAAAGCTATCAAAAACTGAAAAGGAAAAAAAGACAACCACATCTGTTTTCTTCTGTAAAAATGTGAATGTCCACTTCTTGTATTCTCACACTTGTTTTTCTTATTAAAAATTCAGGGCCGCCAGTGCATCAAAGACACTGTAAGTACCAGTTAATAAGAGAATCATTTAGCTGGTCTATTTAGTATTCTTCTAGGTTTGCCAGGACTTCCTTTTAGCAGATCCAGTATGTGATTCAGCTCCTTGACAAACCTGAAGGAGAAAGAAGATTTCGGAGAAGCCCTCTTTGAAAGAAAGAAACAATCTCAAGGCTCCCACTATCCTGAAACAGACAGGAGGGAAGAACAGGTTTCTGGCAGAATGCTGTGAACAAGGAAAGAGTAGTAACTTAGGAACAACAGCCCTCTGCCAGATGCCACGACTTACCAAAGGCAGAACAAAATCCATGGAAAAATCTACTGCCACAAGCTTATCCTGACTTGGAAGCGAGCTGCAGCCTTGCTGAACGTTCCAAGGGTTTTGCCTTTTTGTGGTGACCAGGACAAAAGTTTTCTGTAGACCTGAATCTGTTCCTTCAACTGAGGCCCAAGAAAATCCCCTGCTGCTACTTTTATTTCCAGGATTCCACAGAAGACAAACTCGACGTTCATGATATATTTTTGGTGCAGCAAAATAAAGTGTCGTCTTCTCCATCTCACTTTTGCAAAAAAAAAAACATAACCAAACCAAGCACTGCTTACAGCACTCTTTATACTACATGCAAGCAAAAAAAAAAAAAGAAAAAAAAGCACAAACCAATTTCATCTGGAAAGAAGTTTCCAATCACTTTAAATTTTAAGTAGTTTTTATGATAAATCTATGTTAGCTTTATTAACATATCACTTCCACAGGTAATAAAGAACTACCTGGAAAAGGAGCTGAATTTCCCCTGGAAAAGTAAACAACTGTGTAAATTGTTTTTTTTTATCATTACTAGAGGCTACATTAAGAAAGAAAAGATGATTTATCACTGAAGCTCTCTGTATAACCCTCCTGTAACCACTCGTAAAAACAAGGTCAACATACTTCATTTCTAAATATGACTTCCTGCAAATCACAATGACATGTTAATCTACAAAATCATATACTGTATGTGAATCATTTCCACACCAAAATTGAAGTACCAGCACCTGGGGCTTAAATAGGCATTCTTTAATAAGACATCATTAATAGAAATATTTAATTACTTAGTAGTGCCAATATGCTTGGTAACTTCAACATCTACTAAAAGGCAAAGATATTACTGATAATTTCCTCCACTAGAGGCACTTAAAAGTTTGTGTATTTGCTACACGGGTTCATTTCTGCTGTCTGCGGTCAGATTAAAAACATCTAATGTCCCATATGGAAATATATTAATTTTTTATTTTATGCTTTTATTGGTCTACATATTCAATTCAGAAAAAATCCACACAACAGATTGAACCAATGACAACACTATCTTCCATAATATTAACAGCATTCCTTCTCTTGCACATGAAAGCCTGTGGCTTAGTCACTTCAGAGAACCAAGCAAATAGATAAATCATGCAAAACAGGACAAAGACCTGAGCTCTTTTGAATGAAAGTGCCAGAGTATCTAGTGCCAGCTGAAATATCAACCCTACTAGAAATCATCTCCAAATAGATGCAGCATAATAAAAAATAATTGCTAGAACTATTGTCAGAGGAAAAACAATAAATCAGAATTTAGAATGGATTCTAGGAAAAGACACAGTACCAACAAAATAGGAAGCAAACACCTAACAAAATTCACTTGGCTTGCCAATTCTTGAGAAATCAGTAACAGAACAAATTGCCCACATGGGCAGGAGGCTTGTGAACGTCCATCCGAGTTCACACTGAACTAATCCCTGGCCACAACAGAAGAAATGACTGAACAACTCACTCATCCTTTTGGTTATCTGTCTCTTCAGCAATTTAAACTCTACAAAATATGCTGACACCAAAAAGCTATTCACCTCCAGGTCAGCAGAAAACACTCCTATTACAACCACTTGCCATCTCTGTTGAAGAAAGATTTCAACAAAATATCCAGTATCTTTCAGTGGCAAAGACCAAAAGTTAGTATTAAGAGCACCATAACCTATCAACAGCTTGCAGTGAGACTTTTCTTGAAACCACCTTCTTCCTTATACAGAAAGCATGACATTAGGTAACTTTATTATTCTTGCACACATGAGGACACGATTTAGGAATTTTCAGAATTAAGCCATTCTCTGCTATTTTCCTGAGCATATCGTCCATATTCAACAAGGGAACAGGGAGCCTATAGGTCTATCTCCTTCAGACTGTCATAAAAATGACAGAATAACATTGCAGAACTAAACTAATTTGATTAACTCTTACTGTTCAAGAAGTTTTGCAATAGCAATAAAGACAAATGCATAATAACACAGTAAAACCAAAATTTGTTTTCATTTGCATCTTTTCAGTGTTATTCTTCAAAATTCTGAAGTCAAAGCAAAGGAGAACACCAGGTGAGTTAGGTGCTTTAGCAGTGATTTGTCCCAGACTTTGCTGTCTACTACAGCGGCAAAAGTTCATACTCTGTATTTACATATCTCAAGTAGCTATACTTTCTCTACCTCTTCAAAACGTGGGGACATTTTGTTCCCTCCAGGACAGACAGAAACAATGAAAAATTTAGGACACAGCTAACTTCAAAAGTGCTTGTAGACAGAACTGGAAAGCTGATGTTGCAGCACAATTCACTGAGTTTAAGAATGCACTGGAAAACTACTTGTCCTGTCTTAACCTGCCTTCCTCTTCCACCCTAATGCATCTGTGATGCTTCAAAATATCATAAACAACAGAGAAGATAGACAGATGAACAATCCTTAGCCGAATTACCTGTTCCTTCGTAACAGTGCTGCAGAGCAGCTGCTTTTCTAGCTTTATGACTAGATTTTGTCCAATTCGGTCACACAAGCCTTCTGTCAAGACATGCCTAAAATGTTTCCCAAGTTTTAACCATCTGGGAGCATGTACAAAGACCCTTTGGCAACACACTCCTGAGATGTTACAAGTAGAGAACACTAGTGGAATTGGCAAGACAAACCTCCAAACCAGAGCCCAAGCCTATTATCCATATGCCGAGTTTGAGAACATCAACACAGAATAAGTGAAGCACTACTTTAAACCCTGTGCAGCTTATATGACATCCAAGGTAATTTACTTTATTCCTGCTCATGTCCTTAATTAATCCTACAAGACTGATTCTATTCCATACATTTTTTTTGTATTTCCCAAAAATAACCCCTAAGTAAATACTAACTTACCAGGATTCTTTTACGATCCTTTTCCGATAAAAATTTCACCGGTGGGTATTTCTGGGTGAAACTACAGAACATTTCAAAACAAAGAAGAGAAACTATGTAAGTTTCAGCCTTGCTCTTTCTTTCAAATATCTGTCTTTGAAATATGAAAAAGTACTTTGACAACTTTCCATTCTTAAAGTTCTGCTAAGGGTATGTGTAGTCCTTTTTTCTAAAGAAGGATCTGGGCCAACATAAGAAAACGCCTACGCTTTGTAAAAGCACTGTGAGAAAAATCAAAATTGATCTGTAAATAGTGCTTTTAAAATTTCCCCTTAACTGATTTTCCAGAATGAAGCACTTGACTTGTATCTTTTGAGAGCAGAACTGGTGCCAGGCATGACATCACAAGAAAATAAAACAATAAAACACAGAGTGATTGGACCTTCCCCCTCCCCCCTCCAAGTTTTAAAAAGCAACCAATCTTAAAAGTTCTGGAAAAGAAAGCAAGTTCTGTTGACTTACCACATTGACTTCAAAGACTTCTCCTTAAAGTTTCAAAGTGAAGTTTACAGTATAACAGTATAAAGTTTTAATTCTCTTTAAAGTTTCATGGTAATCAATGTAAAGTTTACAATCAGAATGTTGGAGAAACTCTTTTTAAGATACTTCAACAATTTTTACCAGAGAGTTTATTCAGTATGAAAGCTAATCTTGATTTTATTGTCAGAAATAGTCAGACTGTCATTGTTTTGATGGTCTTCAAGCTACTTTCACTTTATTTTTTTTTTGCATTCTTCTTCCTTACAGGAACTTAAATCAAAACTAAAACATCCTAAAAATAAAAGTATGTGACTTACAAATCTTAGGTGCTCTCTCAAGTTCTCGATGCTCAGAACTTTAGATGATTTCATGGACACAGAATTCTATCATTTCTTTCTCCCTGCACTGGCATGCATTCTGCATACAGCAACAAACTCCTCCAAAGGAAGGTGTGAATTTTATTTATTTCAGTGATTAGCACTGTAGTCTTGGCAATATTTTAATAGCTCAACTTTTTCTTAACTAAATATCAGTGTGACACTGGATAGAAATCAAACTATGGTTACTCTTCTCCTCCAGTAAGTCCACATGCTAGAGATGCAATTGGATGTAGCACACAGGAGGCATATATGTCAAGAGTTCACACTGTTCATCCATTCAGAAAGAGACTCTGACTGAAGTGACCCTACACTTCTGATCTTGAAGCACCTCCTCTGCTTCTAACCTGCAGTACTGGCTCAACAGGAATTCTTCAGAGGCAAAGCACAGATGCTTCTGTACTTGTGTCAACTTTTCAACCCAGAGTGAAAGCAATTTTCAGCTCCCTGGACAAAGAAAATATGGCAGTGGAATCTTCTAATGTTACCCATACAGGAAAACTGAAATAAGATGTCACCTACATTTGCCTTGTATCACTCATTACATGGGTCACTAAGAGTAGCTTTATTTGTTCGATTTAAGCTGAAGCAATGAGAAACAGCAGTGCATAAACATAATGCAGACATGTAAAACACAGCCTTCCTGTGAGAGAAAGGCAAATCCATCAAAAACGACAAGAGGTTTACGGAGGTTTTTTAAAGTTAAGGACCAAACAACTTGATGCAAGGTAAAAGTCAGTCTCCTCCATTTTTATGACCACTGTTTTAAGGTCACATTAATCCAGCACGGAGTCATAATGCTGCCAAAGGGACCTCCCAACCACTTTTGCTCTTTCCATTACACCAGTACCAGCTTAGAGGCAGTGGGCAGGAGTCTGGAATGATGCAGGTGGATGTTCATCTTTTGGCAACAACATCTGAGTTTATCTTGACCCAATGCTTGCTTTGACAACTACATGGCAATGCTTTTGCGGTGCAAATTATTAAGAAAAACTTTCCAACTTTAGCTTCAGTTAAACAATCTCTTGTCATGAGACTAGCGTTAAAGAATTCTTGTCTTTTCTGCTTCCCAAAAGCATGACAATGGCTTGCTTTCAGGTTTTATCGGCTTATGAGGTAAAAAAAACAAACCACCACTAGAGAGTCAGCTTTGCAAGGAGGATCAGCCTTCAGGCATTTGACAGTGAGTAGTTATTTACTGTCACTTTACATAGATAAAAAATTCAAAAATTAACTGTAATGACCCACATTAGTTGAACCAGCAGAGGTAAATGGCTACACTATTTGAAAAACCCAACAACAATAAGAGCCCATGTTTTGATATGGGCCACAAGAGTTCATAAGCCCACATTTTGTGAAAGTGTAATTCCCAGATCCGCTCATACAGAGCTAAAAAAATATTTTTATTCTTCTCCTCATTGCTACACATTTGAAACAAGACTCATCAATACACTGCAAACACCAATCAAAAAGAAAAGAGCATTTAGATGACTCCTGGGAGAAGTTTTAACTTAATGGTTCCACCCAACAACTCATTGCTCATTTGGAAAAATATAATGATTATTAAAAAAAAGCCAATCAGGACACCCTCCCACAAAGGTCCTCTGTGAATGGCAGAAGGAAATACCTGAATTGCCAACAACTGAAGCTGAAGATAAGATTATCAACAAAGATTAAATAAGTCAACTGAACAGAGGCAGGACATCAAAAATTTCATCCGAAGATAAAGCCTTTACTCTAATTTGACCGTTATAATTTGTGCGGTAGTATCACATGCAACTACTACAGGTGATGCAGTCTGCATTTTTTTAATTTCTTTCTTTTTTTTTTTTTTTTTTTTTTTTTTTTTTTTTTTAACAGCACAGGAGGTGTGGTAGAAGGGGAAACTGCTCATTGGCAAGACAAAACTCAAAACACCAAAACACTGCAGGTGTCAAGCACACCTCTGGCCAAGAGCAACGGGATTCCGTCCCCCTCTCCAGAGGAATGGCACACAGCCACCAGTATGCCATACGTAACTATCCAGGCTTACTGGTACTGCTTGGGTAAGTCCAGGCTTGGCCGTTTGCAACACAGCATTCTCAGCCAGCTGTATGCTTGACATATCAACAGTGCCATCTGTGAAACAGTATCTTTGTCAAAGGCAGCAGTGTCCTTGCCAGAGCTGACAACTCCCACCTCTATTCCAGACCTTATCTTGTGATGAAAAACATATGCCTACGAGGACACTCAGACAGGAGAGCTGATCTGGTGCAAAGGCAAACCAGGCTGGAGAGCGAGGGAGTTACTTGCAAAGGAGATTGAAATTATTAGTTTCCCCATCCAGCTTACTATCAGCACTCCAGTGGTTCTGCTGGCATAAAAGTGAGGAAATGATGTCGCAGGGTGAACACAAGCAGTCAGGGAAAAACGAACCAGGCTTGGATTATTTTTTTTTATTTTAACAATTATGTCAATTTAAGGTGCTTGTGGAATTACAGGACATATTTAATATCTGCAGCTCATCAAAAAGCTTGTCTGCTTTTCCTCAGTCCCATCATCCAGTTTAATCCAAGATAACACATTCCCTTACAAATCCTTACAGAAGAGTCAGATAGCCTCATCCAAAGCACGTGCACAGACTAAGATTCACAACCAAGTCACTGTACGTTAGCTGAACCATGGTAGCTGATCACAAATGTGAGAAACGTGAGGTAAAACATATTTTCAGTCTCTTGAAGTTGAAACCAATGTTCCAGCACACAGTTGGGTTGGATTTATGAAACCATGGTAATCTGTTCACCAGCTGGATTCAAACCAGCAAATTCCTCCACCAAATCTGAACTTCACAAAAATGCAGCACTCTCAGTTTACTTCAGTGGGATTAATCAACCTGAATACCTTAAGCATTAATGTCTTCCAGCACTCTAGACCTCATCCTCATTTAGATATTATAAAAATCCAAAGGTACTGAGGGTATAAGCAAAACATTTATCTCAAGCTTACAACTAGAGAACTGACTGGTACAGAACAGAAACTGTGCTTTTTAACTGCTTCTCAAATTCAGCAAAAGACATACCTTTTTTCTAGATCTTTGATTTTCTCCCTTAGAGGTGCAACAGCCTAAAATAAAGGAATAACATTCAATTGTTGAAGAACAAGATTCAAATCACAAAAACATGCATATAGGAAGTTACTTTAGAGCAAAAATCATATGGCAGTCTCCTATGAAGAGCTTCACTGAAGACACTTCAAGAAACTTGCATCTTAAAGCACTCTTCCTGTTAAAAAAAATCCTTGAACATTTTTCATCAAAAATCAAATCACCCAGTGCAGTGTGAAATCCCTTGGCTTACCACTGAAAACAAAACACCTCACGGCTATGAGTATTGATAAGATGCTGATAAGAACACCCAACGTTATGATTTCTATTTGGCATAGTGAAGTCACAAATTACTTGTCTGAGGTTGTCAAAGGCAATCTATACTGGTCAAAGGCAATCTATACTGAGCAACAGCACAATAGGACAGTCAGTAAAATCTCGATGATTTAGAGGGACAGCAGATACACACACTTAAGTGTACACAGACGCAGAAAGAGAGGCACTAGCTCCCACGCAAAGGCTACCATTCTCCCAGAACACGGTACGTGAATTTTAAGAAACATCACGTTTAAAAAAAAATTAAGATACGTTTTACATCATGATTTGAGGGTATATCTAGGCTTTTAAAAAAATACTAAAAGGAAATATGTTAGAAAATATAGTTCACCTATCAAGACTTCTGTTTGCATTTTCACTGCTTTGGAAAAGAGAATCACTTAAGTCGGCATCAGTTTCAGGTTCTTTATCACAGGAATCAAATTTCTAATAGTCCTGCCAAATTTCAACAAGTTCTTGCATTCTTGTTTTTAAGTTTACTAAAACCTTGTAACAAAATTTATCATCTAGGGCCATACGTAAGTTGAGAACAATCAGAGGGTTATCATTTGAAATGGTGCAATACAGCAACACATCACTAACTACCATTAATTTTTGTACAAATACTGCTTGTTAGAGCTAGACAATTCAGAAACTTCATGAACTGAAATAAACTGCATATTCACGTTAAAAAGAAATACAGTACTGCCATTTATATTCATTAAATATCTAGCTCTGCGGAGCAGCAAATGATTCTCGAAACAGTTATACTTTGATGGTTCAAGATACTGTACAACTAGAGCTTTTAAAACAAGATCCAGAAATGCTCAACTTCTCTGATCTACCCGTTAAATTTCAAGCACTTGACCATTGTTAAACAACTGGGATTTTCAGAATGCTTGTTTCAATGTTTACCAGATTTAAAAAAAAAAAAGAATTGAAAAGACAACATAAACTAAGAACACAATCTTTCCATTGATTTCAACCAATTTCAGTGGGCTTCTTGCTGAGTCCAGAGGAACAACTTTATAAACCTGTTGGAATACAAGACACTAGGCAGATCATACTACACTAGTACATTCACATGCACCCACACAAGGGGTAGGGGGTATTGACCTCAAAGGCTTTTGGATCTATTACATTCTTTGTTTTATTGTTATTAGACTGGGAGTCTAAATCATCTGGGAAAAGATCTGTTGCACACATTCTTAGTATTACACAACAAACTGAGGTTGAAATGGAAATTCAGAAGTATTGGTACACAAGTTCAGAATCACTGGTGTGCTCAATACTCTTGTCTGCTCCAGTTATCATCAGGATTTGTGCTTTATGCACTGGTACTGCACAGTCCTCAACCACAAACACTGCTACCTTTGCTCATTAGTTAAGAACAAAGCATGTTTGGAAGGTTTCAAATTTCTAATGAAACTTACATATACTTAACATTTCGTAAGGGTGACAAAGGAAAGAATTTGTGTATATCTTTAATTCAGTAACAAAAAAAACCACAGTTCTCAGGAGGACTCTACCACAGCCTCTGCAGCAAACAAGGCAGTAGAACTGTTACTTACAAGAAAGGTTTAAAGGAAAAGAAATAAAAAGATCACGGACGTACGTTAGAAACTCCACTATAGTGAAGAATAGTTCAAAGACTTATGTACAGACACAAATCCAATGCTTTGAATAGTTTTATTGGAATGCAGAGGAATGAAACAGAACGAAATACACCCTTTCAATATGAAATGAGTGAAACGGAGTCCTCAAAACAAAACAGACTACAACTATTAGCAAACTAACCTCCTCTATTTTACTTTCCACCTTCTGTTCCCCAGTTTCTTGAAGAGACCTGTGGGCAAGAAAAGAAAAAAATACAATCCACACCTAAGCAATAATTGGTCTGCTGCACCTGCATCATGCTTTTCCTGTTTAAAATGGTATCTTCAAAGCATCCCAAGTTAGTATCATTTCAAAGACATACCCAGAATAAATAAAAGTGGATGGTCTAATTCCCACTGAAATCAGCTAGTCTTGTCACCAAATTTGGCAGGAAATGAACCAAGCCCACAGGAAAGAGTAATACCAATAAAGATGACATTCATTTTACAGAGAAAATGAACTTCATTGTAGAAAAATGTTTGATCACTGCACTAAGGTAGGGTCAGCAGAAACATTTTTCAGTGTAGCTTTACTATGCAAATCCCTAAAATGTCTTTTTCATGGTCTATTTACTGTATGCTACAAACATGCTAACATTTTCACCAAATGCCACAGCTGTAACTGTAATATCAATCAAAAAGAGAGAAGGGCAAATATATCCAGCTTTGACTTTGAACTTTTCCAAACACAAGGGGAAAAAAAAATATTTAAAAATTGTCTTCAGTGACCATCAGATGGGCAATACTGACTTCTCACACAAACTTTACTAATTTGAAATGAAGCCAGAGATGAAGGATGTCAAGGTAACAAGAGTATCATCTGAGAAGTTGGTGCCTTGCACAAATCTGTGTGATCTTATTTAACATCTAATTGTGTAAACTACCTCAACTGGTTGCATTCATTCTTTGAGTAAACTTCTACAAGTGTAGAATAGGTATTTTTAAATTCTACCTATTGCATGTAGTCTATCCAATTTTCCTTCAGTTTGCACATTTTTTTTTTCAATTAAGCCTTCTGAAAGGGGAATTATTTATCTTACAGCAGTAAGTTTTTGCATACTAGAGGATTCATGGGTATCCGACATAAAATGGAGTTCTTTCAAATAGAACAGAGCTCCTTTGCTTGGGACCTGAAGTCATTACACCTAGGGAAATAGAAGATCTTTTGTTAAGCAGATATACATATGCCACACTGTTAGAAGTTAGAGCCACAATTCCCTTCATATCCCTCTGTAAAAGTCTCTTACTAACAAGTTTGTTCAGTCTATTACTGAGGCAAAAACCCCCTATTGATCAGATTCATCTTGTTGTATCAGTAAAGACTGCAGTAAATTCCTAACACTAAGACACATAGACCCTGAACCGTCTTTTCAAAACAAACTGTAACTTATTCTAACAGTGGCAAATAAAAAACCCTCTCGTTCACACAGTATGAACTTACTACAAGGAAGTAATATTTAGTAATTCTTGTGAATTTTTCAAACATTTTCCCAAATAACAGACATCTACAAAAAGCTATGCAAACAATCTGTGGAATACATAGACTTTCTTCTCCACCAAATGAGCAAGTAAAATTTGGAAAACTCCTCAGAATATTAAAAGATCCCCTCAAAACTGGTTTCTGCTATTGTTTATTCACAAATCCTGGAAGTTAATAACTGGCACTCTGCAGTTTAGTTTTTAATGAGCTTTTCCTCCTAACAAAGACAATCTCATTGGCTGAGGATCAATATCAGACCTTCCGAAATAAAGGTTTCCCCCTCGATAGCTCTATAAGGGACATCTCAAACAAGAGGTCAGATGCAGCCAGTGGCAGAATTCGTAAGGACAGCTTATCAGGGAATGAACACGCTGGACCTCATGTCCACCTGCCCTCTTCAAACCCCTCTCTGAGGTTCTTGTCCTTCCTTCGGAAATACTCAGTTGCTCATGTAACACCTGCTAAGCTGCCATAGTTTGCTGGTCACAATAACATGGTAATCTAAATGACATCTCCATCTGCAGGCCACACTAGCTTAGCAGCTGTTTGCCTAACAGCTGAACACTCTTTGTAGCAATGGTGGGAAACTCCAAGAGCAGTGAAGTGGACAGCCTGGGAAAGGAACAGATCCCAGGGTAAGCTGTCCTGAATGAATCAGAGCCCACAGAAAATTCAGTATTTTTCTTACTTTGCCTCAAACTTTCTTTGCTCTGTGCTGCTAAGCATGGCAACAGAGTACCAAAACCCTTTACCTGCAAAACAACATGTTGAAATATTTTGTCCTCTATGCAGAAAGACTTTGTTGTAGGGAACAGACTGTCCCCATATTCTCTTCACTTTATTTTTCAGTTGTGCCTTCCTGGTGAATTTTCCCAGAGGACAAACACTTACATGAAAGCAGAAATGATGTGAAAATCTGCACACTTTGTATGCATATGCTATTCCTTCCTATTTCTAAGGGCAAAAGTTCTAGGGGATACTGCAAGATCTTTTTGCTTTTCAGCAGTTAAACCATCAAATTCTCTCCCAATTGTGGAGGAGGAAAAACCCGCAAAACCACATTTCTAATTCTCAGTACAGAAATATAATTATGGCAAGCAGTGGAGGATCTGCTGCTCTTCAACGTTTAAGCCTGTATTGCCACTGAGATACAGTCAGATGCATGCTGAGGAAAAGCACAATCCACGCCTATGTGTCCAGCTATGTCAACCAACTTGCCTGAAAAATCCAAGATGATGAATTTGTATAAAAAAGGCAGATACTGAAGTGTGAGTAAGATCCTGGGCAAGATTTGCAGCAGGCATACAACCCTTTTTGAGACTGAACACCTTGTAGTTAAGAAATGGTATCAGCTGCTTAGCAACCATCCAAATAACAGTGTGAGCTGCTCTTCTGTCTTCTCCCTACTCGATATACAGTGATACATGCTGATGGGAAAGGTAAGTAAATTTTATTCAGATAGGGATATTCAATACAAAAATGGTATACATTACCTCATATTGACAAAGTTTCCCCATACAGCTGGAAAATAAGAAGAGAGAACATTACAGTGTCATATAACAGTACATGAGGTCATTTTTTCCTATTATCATCAGAAGGAATTCAAAACAGTATTAAGTACGTTAATCACAAATTATCTAAATAAATTACGCACACTGCAACTCATCATGTGTGCAACTGCATTTGTCACTGTACACAGATTAAACAAACCAGAGCTCTGGACTTGTTTATTACGGATATTGAAAAAAACGTCAAGAGTAAGAAAGGAGTCCTGTAGACCTGAACCACACAAACTGGAAACTGCAGACTGACAAGAGTAAAAGCCTGGCCACTACAGGTGATAGCCGAACCAGTCCAAAGAGGTGCCACAACAGTCCTGCATTAAAGGTTGCATGTGCTTGTGTGCACATGCATTCTCTGTCTAAATATGTATATATGGTGATATAGACACAAAAAGTACCTAAGCAATATACATAAATATTTATAGTATATTCATATTTTATATTTATATTTTTATATATACAATATAAACACCTCTAAGCAAACCAAGCTCATTTATTAAACTGTTTGTATGGAAAGAAGTTTAAAGGAAAAACTACAGTATAGAATAGCACAACAAAAATGTATCAGCTGTTTTTCTGTGTTCAGAAAAAGATTCATCTGCTTAATTTATTTTCTACTAGAAAAAAACAATCTTCTGAAACTGTTCAGAGTTTAAGTGATTACACGAAGACTATCAGAACATCAAATTTCCTTTTAACTTTTAACTAAGACACAGAATGTAGTTTAAAGTGAAAAAACAAGAAGCCATAAACCAGGCTACACTACAGAGCTGACAACTTCAGATCATCAAGACAAACAAGGTTAATATGGAACAGTTACGTAAGGGACTCTGCAACAATAAAGCAACACAGGAAACATACCCAGAATATTGCCAGAAAATCATTCTGCAGTTGCTCTTTAAGAGACAAGGCTCGACCTAAGGATCCAAATTACACTGGGTCTTAAGAAGGAGTAGCAGCCCATATGCACTATTAACATACGTATAGAATGCTTGTGAACTATCCTCAAGTTTCTGTAAGCCCTGCTTCAGGTCTCAAGTAGCAGCTAATTAAATATTTTGCCTAAATTCGGGCTTTGCACACACGTTTTCATGATTATTACTTATTGATTTCAAGCAGACCATGAAGTGTTACAGAAATAAGAAAATCAAACTGCGGCTACAGTCACAGGCACCTCCCTGGGTCAAGAAGAGCAGAAACAGTCAGGGAAGAGGAGCAGGGAAGACATGAGTGAGGATGCAGTACTGCAGTCTCTGTTCCACCCTTTAGGGCATCGTAGAGCTACTGAACTGTATTTTAACTACTGAGTGTTGCTGAGTAATTCAAAGAGTAACTCAGATGAATTCATGACAGACTATCAAACAAACCGTAGGAAGGCACTGTGATATCCGTGGTGGTATTGTAAAGCCTCTGTTGTCTTCTGGGGAAAAGATAAGGAAGCTTTATATTAGAAGAGATGATCAATAAAATCCAACCTAATTTTAAAAACACTGGATTTTATGTTAATTAGATAAAGTAAATTTTCAGTGAGAAAAAAGGATACAGTGTTGAGCACTAAGTTGAATTCAAGTTGTTTACCCTCTGGCTAAGATTTTAGAATTATTTAAGATAACATTAATGGAAATGCTCCTATTGGTTTTTTTGCAGTCAAGGATGACCATCTGGCAACTACAGGTACAGAATTCTCAAGTTATACATTATTCAGCTACGCTTACAATCAGTTATTTTTCTGGGCTACAGAAACCCGTACAAATAATGTAACATATTGTTTATGCAGTGGCAGGAAACATCTGGGCTTAGTCGGTGAAGCATGAATTGACGAAAAAATTAGTCGCCAGCTGCACCACAAATCTCACCCAGTCAGTTTTGTTGCAGCAAAGACAGTGCAGCTACACTGCATACAAGAAACTGGCTTCCCAAAGAAAATGTGTTAATTGTGTGTGCTCAGTATCCACCGCAGGGAAGGGGAGCTCCAAAAGGTATTTGTGTGCTTCTAGAAACACTATGCTGGATACACCAGCTCTGTAGGAGTAAATGAGCTTCCATTAAGCTTCTAGGAAGTATATTTTTGCAACATGAAAAAAAAAAAGGAAACTGCAAAATGAACCACATAGGAAATACCATATGGAGGGATTTGAAGAACTCTAAAGTCGCTCTCACATGCAGACAGCTGCTGCAGAAACTCATTTGATCATATTGTGATACTGTGGAGACACTGTGGAGACCAGTGACGAGAGGCATTCCTAAAGGGTCGATGCGTTGGGGCCCGTGATGTTTAATATCTTTGTTGGTGACATGGACAGTGGGATCGAGTGCACCCTCAGCAAGTTTGCTGACGACACCAAGCTGTGTGGCGTTGTGGACATGCTGGACAAAAGGGATGCCATCTAGAGGGACCCTGACAGGCTGGAGAACCTCATGAAGTTCAACAAGGCCAAGTGCAAGGTCCTGCACGTGGGTCAGGGCAATTCCAAGCACAAGTACAGGCTGAGCAGAGAATGGATTGAGTGCAGCCCTGAGGAAAAGGTCTTGGGAGTGCTGGTGGATGAGAAGCTCAACATGAGCTGGCAATGGGCGCTGGCAGCCTAGAAAGCCGACCATATCCTGGGCTGCATCCAAAGAAGTATGGCCAGCAGGTCGAGAGAGGTGATTCTGCCCCTCTACTCTGCTCTCGTGAGACGGCACCTGGACTACTGTGTTCAGCTCTGGGTTTTCCAACATAAGAAGGACATGGAGCTGTTGAAGCAGGTCCAGAGAAGGGCCATGAAGATGAAGGGCCCCTCCTCTGAAGACAGACTGAGAGAGTTGGGGCTGTTCAGCCTGGAGAAGAGAATACTTCAGGGAGATCTTCTGGCAGCCTTCTAGCACCTGAAGAAGGCCTACAAGAAAGCTGGAGAGGGACTTTTTACAAGGACATGTAGTGACAGGACAAGGGGTAATGGCTTTAAACTGAAAGAGTGGAGATTTCGATTAGATCTAAGGAAGAAATTCTTCACGATGAGAGTAGTGAGACACTGGAAGAGGTTGCCCAGAGAAATCTAAGTTGAACACACACCCCTGGAGGTGTTCAAGGCCAGGTTGGATGAGGCTTTGAGCAACCTGATCTAGTGGAAGGTGTCCCTGCCCATGGCAGGTGGGTTGGAACTAGATGACCTTTAAGGTCCTTTCCAATCCAAACCATTCTATGATTTTATGATATTGACCTCACAAAGGACCCTGAATGCACAATCCTAGGGAGGATAGCTCTTTGGCTACTGTGAGTTCACATACAGCTTACCTCAAGATTGAAGGGATCAGAGGTAAGGTTTTGCACTACAGTGGAATTAAGTTTTTGTTGTGTTTTTTTTTTTTTTTCTAAATGCACGATCCAATTGTTTATACAACAAGCTTACAGAGCTGCAGAATTAGCAGTATGATTATGGCTTACAGAGGATTTCTTTGACTCCTCACTTCCTTGCCCTAAAGGTTATGCCAAGACCAGTTTGACATTTGGGCAAGAAAGTTATTCTGAATGATGGAAACATACTAAGGCCCAAATCCACAAGCAGAATGATGCAGAATTGCAAGTCTAAATCCAAGATGAAAACCCTCACAGGGACCATAAAGCCCTCTGACAGGCCCACCAATTTCAGGCACCAAAAGCTGCAGATGTGGATGGTTAAAAAAAGCTTGCATACCAGCAAGGTCATGAATCAGGCGCTACACATCAAGCCAGTTTTCAAAAGCATTAGATTCTTAATGGACTAAATTTGAGCAAACGCTAACATAACTGAGCACCTCACTGTAAAAGCCAGTCTCAAAAAAACACAATTTAAAAAATTCCAACTCTAAAGCCTTATCTTTTAAGCCAAGATATATTCACTCAGGATAATAGTCCTATGCCAATTCTCAAACCTTTAACACTCTCACTTCTCTGCAGCCACACACAGTACATACTCTCTGAAGAACTTCCTATTCATCCAACTAGAGAACATTCATGGACGAGTCTTCCTGCCAGCTACTGAAACTCTGTGCAAGTGAAGAATTCATGATTAATTGGACTCGACAGACAGGAGCATGACTTGTAACCAAACAATTAAGCCACTCACCTACAAGAGAGAAGAAATAGAGGTTCTGTTTATTCTCTTTAAGACTATTTATAAACCTCACCCAATGACTGATTAAGGTAATAATAAGTTGCCATTAGGGAAGAGATCAGAGTACCTGGATTGCTGTGAGAAACCTGAAAGCCTGATTTACTGGCCTGTAGGAGAAAGCTGTAGTCCCATTTTGACTCTATCTGTTCTGGGATGGTTTTTCCCCTCTATATTCCTTCCATAAAATAATGACAACAATCATTTTTATTGTATGTTTTTTGCAAGGATTAATTGCAAGTACCACGAAGATTAAAAATACTCCAGAGGCATTAATCACTCCCACAGACGTTACACTTAAAAGTGACAGCTTCCAGAGAAGAAGAATGACATGCCTTGGATGAAGCGATAAAGAGCTGTACTTTTAGAAAAGAGGAGATTTGTTTCTTGAAGTCTTAATCATAGTATTGGTATTAAAGAGGCATTTACATTTTGCCAACTAAACATTAATCATTCATGGTTTTCAGAAAATTCAATCCTTTTTTTTTTTGGTTTGTTGTTTTTTGGGTTTTTTTTTTTTTTTTTGGTTTGTTGGTTTTTGGTTTTTTTTTTCCACTCCAGCCTCTGAGAGATATAGCTATAAATATGTCAAGTACAGCCTTATGGTAAAACTGCTGTAGATTTCCAAGACTTCTTGAAACTACCTCAAACAAAAGGTAATCAGTCACCGAGAAGTAAAAAATGGTTTTCTTTCTACTGAATCCATTTATATTCCTGGAAGTTTAAAGGTGTGTTAAGTTTTCCTAGAGAAGACCCTTTCTGAAATTATGCTGGATGCAAAGCACTATGACAACTGGGCTACTTTCAGCAAAGGAACATTCCAAGA